ACGGCTTTCTGAGACGTTTCCGCGAGGTTTTCGAGCATTCAGCTGGCGGAAAGGAGCCTGGCGAACAGTTACTCGCTCTACGACAGGGACGAAGCACGGCTGCGAATTATGCTTTCTCATTCCGCACTCTCGCAGCGCAGTCAGGATGGGAGGACGAACCACTTAAACTGCTGTATCGCAAGGGACTCACGGTCGAGTTACAGTCAGAGCTCGCCTGCCGTGATGAGGGGAGGACCCTCGAACAGTTCATTGAGCTCTCCATCCGCATTGATAATCTAATGCGGGCACGACGTGCTCCTCGCCAATTTCCTGTGTATTCCCCAGCGGCCACAGCTTCCGTTGAATCGGAACCCATGCAGATTGGTTTCACTCGCCTCACCGATGCGGAACGAGAGAGAAGAATGCGGAATCGACTCTGTCTCTACTGCGGTCTATCCGGCCATATGAGAGCTTCCTGTCCCACCCGACCATCTGCTCGAAGTTACACTACGGTGAGTGCCACTCCTGATTCCATTAACTGTTTAGTAGTTCCCATTGCTCTAGCATTTAATGATAAGTGCACTGAGACCGTAGCATTGATAGATTCGGGGGCTGCGGGGAATTTCATTGACATAGGGTTTGCCAATACTCATAACTTCCCTCTTGTTCCATGTGAATCCCGGGTGGCAGTGGCAGCCTTAGATGGATGTCCTCTGGGCACAGGACAGATCAAGTTCATAACCCAGGATCTGTGTCTGTGAACTGGCATACTTCACACGGAAACCATCCGACTATTTGCTATTGACTCTACTCTGAATCCCATCATCCTTGGCCTGCCCTGGCTAGAAAGACACAACCACCGGATCTCATGGACCACTAAACAGATTCTACAGTTGTCTGACTCCTGCCAACAGAATTGTTTGCTCACCAGCCTATCGCACTCATCTCGCCGACCAGCTCAGATATCAGAGGATTCACCGGTTCCGGGAATACCCTCTGAGTACCATGACCTCGCTGACACTTTCAGTAAGACCAAGGCCTCACAACTTCCTCCTCACCGACTCAGTGACTGTGCGATCGATCTTCTTCCAGGATCAACCCCCTCTAGAGGCAGAGTTTTCCCACTATCACAGCCAGAGTCCGAGGCCATGAAGGTGTATATTGAGGAGGAGCTGTCAAAGGGGTTCATTAGACCATCCACCTCACCTGCGTCAGCTAGTTTCTTCTTTGTCAAGAAGAAAGAGGGAGGTCTCCGGCCATGCATTGATTACCGCAGTCTTAATGAGATGACAGTCAAATTCCGGTACCCTCTACCTCTAGTTCCAGCAGCTCTAGAACAACTCCGCACTGCTAAATATTTCACCAAGCTCGACCTTCGCAGCGCCTACAATCTTATTCGCATTCGGGAGGGAGACGAGTGGAAGACGGCTTTTTCAACAACGTCAGGGCACTATGAATACCTCGTCATGCCGTTCGGCCTGGTAAACAGTCCTTCAGTCTTCCAAGCTTTCATTAACGATGTTTTCCGGGACATGCTGAATCGGGGGGTCATAGTCTATATAGATGATATCTTGATTTATTCGGATACCCTGGACTCACATGTGCAGCGCGTGTGGGCTGTTCTTCAGAGGCTCATTGACAACCAGCTATATGCCATGATGGAGAAGTGTGAGTTCCACCAGACAGTTACCTCTTTTCTTGGTTACATCATTAGCGCGGAGGGGGTAGCTATGGATGACAGGAAGGTACAGTCTGTGCTCCACTGGCCTCAACCGACGACGGTAAAGGAATTACAGCGCTTCTTGGGCTTTGCTAACTTCTATAGACGTTTCATTCGGGACTTCAGCACCATTGCAGCACCTCTCACCTCCATGCTAAAGGGAGGGAAGCGTAGGCTTCTTTGGTCACCATCAGCCACCGGGGCTTTTCGACGTCTAAAGGAACGCTTCACCTCCGCGCCCATTCTTCACCATCCTGATCCTGAGATAGAGTTCTTCGTGGAGGTGGATGCTTCCAACACGGGCATCGGAGCTATACTCTCTCAGCGGCAGGGTAATCCTTCCAAACTCTTTCCCTGTGCCTACTACTCTCGGAAACTCAACTCGGCGGAACAAAACTATGCAATAAAGCTGCAAATGGATCCGCACGCCTCTGACTCTCCGTTACACCATCAATTAACAACATTAAATGAGATTTTTAATTTTGGAACACAACTGTTCACTCGCTAAAGTGCACTATATTCATATAAAAAAACCTATATCCAACACATTTGACTGGCAGTTGAAATGTGGATCTTCTAGAAAGTGAGCAAAGAACAAAATAAATGTTTAAATCAAATCCACCTGCATAAATTATTAGACTGGATATAACAACTGAAGCATTTAAAACCCAGACAGGAATAATCCTCCATCTCTAGTGGGGCGCCTAAGAGTTGGCAGTCGCAAAAGTAAATAGTCTATGTTGGCATTTGTCAAGTGTTACCAATTACAACCTTTTTTTCTTCTAAAGGGGAGATACGAAAAGCCAAGAGGAATTATTACTGAAGGCATAGGCTGTAAATTGGCCACCATACTATTCCCTAATTCTGTAAAGCCAAATGTTTCAGTTTCAGATCAACTCTGTCATCTCCTTAAAGGCTCAACAAAACCACAAGTCAACCCATACGGTTTTGACTTTCTCAGTTTCTTGATTAGGCACATCTAGAAAAAAAGATCTTGTAGGATCCTGTCATATTGCCATAGAGGAGATGCACTTTAATCAGTCAAAATAGGCCAAATGCAAGAAGAATGGAAGGAGTTTCTCAGCAGACTGACGGCTGAATGACACGGACATACAGTTACAGTACCTTTCGTTTGGGTCATGACTCATGACAGGTATAAAATGTCCTTGACTGCCGAGAAACACTTCAGGAATCCAGTATCAGCTTTCAGCCACATGCAGCCATCTTGTACGGGGAGACGTGGAGCAACTTTATAGACTCCATCACTCATCACTGTGAAAAACACATCAGTTTAAAGGTGCTTTATATGAACAAGAAGGTTATACTGTGGTAGAATGATATACCAGAAGTTAAAGTATGTGTTTCAACTGAGACATTTTTAAGCAAGAGACTACATTTTATAACAAAGCAGACCTTCGGTGGTGTTTACTTGAAGCTACTGTACTGTCAGATACACCACTAAATTACCACAATGATTTCTGAAGGATCATGTGACACTTAAGACTAGAGCAATGCCTGCTGAAAATTCAGCTTTTTTTTTATTACATTACAAAATGCATAGATAATGGATTGATTATAAGTGCTTTACATTTACACCCTGAAAGTTATCGTGAGACTTTATTTGACATTCAACAAAATCAAGATACTACAAATAAAGCTCATGCATAATATTTGAAGCTCGTGCATAATAAAGACTTTAAGGAAATCGGTGTGACTATTAATTTGTCTCATTCCTGTTATACAGTACCCTTTGAATGCTGTAACTTTGTTGTGTACATTAACAGTAGTCAGAATTCCTAAGAGGATAGAAATAAAAAAGCTAGAGTTAACTATTGCCCAGTGTGAGATTGAGGATTAGCTTTAATGAGGGGGTTGAACTGAAGCTAGTTTTTATATTTTAAATATTTATATTTTTCAAAATGTTGATATTATCATAGAGTTTTCTGCAAATTGTAACATGATTGAATGTTCTTGAGTGAGACAAACCAACACAAAACATCAGACAGATCCACTGCTAATACTTATGTTTATGCTGTTTTCCATCCAAAGTGATGTTACTTCCTGGAGTATGATGTCATTAGGGAATTGCCTTTTGTAGTTAAGGGGATACTAGCATATTTACTCCCTGAAAAATACTGCACTTCCAGAGGCGGACAGTAACTAAGTACATTTACTTGAGTATTGTACTTAAGTACACTTTTTGAGTATCTGTACTTTACTTGAGTAAATTTTTTTTGTTAGCTTATGACTTTAACTTCACTACATTTGAAAGACAAATATTGTACTTTTCACTCCACTACATTTCTATCAAGATCCTCGAAGTAGAAAGTCTTTTTCTTTAAAACGTGACTTTCTTTTTTCAGACAGTTTATCAGTAATCACTCTTGTGGCTACATTAAGTGATTTCCCAACATTTTTTGAGCACTGACCAGTTCCAAATGTGATATTTATTTACAACAATTAAATAATAAGAAGTTAATATTGTGGTTTATATTAGACACAATATTGTCTGATTTTGCTAAATTGTGTAAGTGAAAATATTACCTATAAAGCCACAGAAGAACTTTTGTGCATCTCCTAATAAAACACAAAAGGTGTTTGATTGAAGCAGCACTGCAGACCATTCTGTGTGTGATATCAAAGTACAGCAAGAGCGATTAGACAGCATTTTAAATTTTTTTGTTTTGATGTCAAATAAGTCTTGCTGTTTTGCATTTTTGTTAAAGCAGTGTTGCTGTTGTAAAGTTATACAGCTACAGTTGTGTTGCTGGGTTTTAAAGCAGGTTTGATTTTTCTTTCTTTCTTATCACTCTGTATTTACAGGATTTCTGTGGGGGTGGGTAGGGGTGTTAAATAATAATTTTTTTGTTTTGTTTTTGTTGTTTTCCCCATAGGTTTTTAAAGTTCTAAAAGCTCTTTATTACAAAGATACTTCAAGCTAGTCAGTGTATTCAGTAGGTGTAATGTATTGTAAGTTGCTTCAGAGGTATTGCAAGTAGGCTATTACATACAACAATAATAAAACAGTGCATTGACATAAATAAGGAAATTTACTTTTGGTACTTAAGTACTTTTAAAACAAATGTGGATGAATGGCTATACACATAGATGTGTCCAGAGCTGTGTGAGATCACTACCATCCTGCTTTTGTGGGGGTGGGTAGGGGTGTTAAATAATAATTTTTTTGTTTTGTTTTTGTTGTTTTCCCCATAGGTTTTTAAAGTTCTAAAAGCTCTTTATTACAAAGATACTTCAAGCTAGTCAGTGTATTCAGTAGGTGTAATGTATTGTAAGTTGCTTCAGAGGTATTGCAAGTAGGCTATTACATACAACAATAATAAAACAGTGCATTGACATAAGGAAATTTACTTTTGGTACTTAAGTACTGTTAAAAGCAAGTACTTCTGTACTTTTACTTAAGTAAAAATCTGTCTTTACAACTGTTACTTGTAATGGAGTTATATTTGACCAGCAGTATCTGTATTTTTACTCAAGTAATGGAGTTGTGTACTTTGTCCGCCTCTTTGCACTTCTAACAAAATATGATCAGTACATCTTATGATTCTGCATAATATATACCCAGCTGACTCCCAAATGTATATTTTTGCTGATGTTTCCAACTTTTTGAGGAAGAAACGTAATGTATTGCTTATTTGATTGTATCAATGCAATCACTCCCTTTGGTAGAATTTAAATGATCTATCTCCTTTAATAAAATACTAATAACATTTTTTTGTTTGTTTTTTTCCTGGAAGTAACAATGCTGTTGAACTTGCTTTTCATTTCTTTTTTTTTTTTTGCATTGCAAATGTATTTTTAACAAGGACACATTTCTTAACATTTTGCTTAATTTAAAATTTTATCTTGAGTTTGACCGTACTGTAAAATCTGTAAATTTTCTTTCTTTTTCATTTTGTTGTTTGCATTTACAGTGCTGTTTTGTCTTTGCAATCAATCAGTAAAGATATATTAGTTACAAAAGGCTAACAGGATGAACATATAAGAGGAAACTATAAATCTATTCAAATTCAAATGTTAAATAATTAAAAATTCACCCTATGTTCACATAATTGTGATTAAAGAAAGCTGTGTAATGTTTTAATAATGTATCATACAGGTGCATCTCAATAAATTAGAATGTCGTGGAAAAGTTCATTTATTTCAGTAATTCAACTAAAATTGTGAAACTCATGTATTAAATAAATTCAATGCACACAGACTGAAGTAGTTTAAGTCTTTGGTTCTTTTAATTGTGATGATTTTGGCTCACATTTAACAAAAACCCACCAATTCACTATCTCAACAAATTAGAATACTTCATAAGACCAATAAAAAAAAATTTGAGTTGAATTACTGAAATAAATGAACTTTTCCACGACATTCTAATTTATTGAGATGCACCTGTATATTAAAGCCTGCAGTAAAACTTTACATCGTCAGGTCAAGAGATCTGAGATTTGAGAAATTGAGATTTTGCTTTGTTTTTTTTCTTGTGGCATAACATTCACACAAAAATGCAAGAAGTTTATGGTATATGAGAGTACTGTTGATACAATCCTTTTCATACAATATCTAAGAAGAAATGCAACAAGGTTGCTAGTTTATTTCATTTAGGCCATTTACCATTAAAACATTTACCAAACCATCCTTAGTTATGGCTTCCAACAGTGCTGGTCTCCTCTTCTTCATCGGGTTTTTCTTATCTCACAAAGTACTTTACTTCTACAACCCAAGTTCAATTACACCATCAGAGACACCTAAACCCAACACTACAGTATTGTGAGTGATGTGAAACACGACTCCAGGCCTCTGTCCCATTAGAGCCCGTTACTTATGGAACAAAACCATAACAAACTCACTGCATCATCATAAGCATCCTCATAAAACATTCACACCAGATGAAGCCACGAGAAACCCATTGTCCATTGGCCAGCCAGCAGTCAGCCGAGAACAGGAGACCAGTTACCATTGGCTGCTTCCTGTCAGTAGCATCTCGACTGGAAGCACGAGTTCCTGTATCGATCCGGAGTCGTCCTTACCCCTGGCAGAGGAAGGGGGGTTATTTTGTTGTATCGGTAATACGATATGATGAAAAGACTTACCACAAACTCAGGCCAGCGCCTTTAGTACTAAATACCAGCAGACAGCGGTTTTCTTGAGCACATTGTTATAAAATGCTTTAATAAATAGTTTGATTTATTTCTAACAAACATAAATTCCACTAAATGAACCAAATAACTTCTTTTCAGAGCAATTCTTCTGTACAAAAAAAAAATACAAATACAGCTTAAAAAACAAAGCAAAACAAAAAACTCTCCTCCAGCTCCACCCCGTTTCCCTTCCATAACGGACACTGAGCTTAACTTGCTTATTTATAAGTGTTTACTTGAATTTGATTGTGAACCAATTGTACAGGAACAGTTTTAAACGTTTCTCATATTCCCATAAGCAAAAAACTAAATCTTTAACATCATGATGAAAGAAATCAAATCATAGCCAGCCGTTTCTGAGGTAATCCATTTCTTTGAGCTGGTACCTCGAGTACAAATGCTTTACAACATAATTGTTCCCTTCATGAAGTTTCGATCCAACCAAACAAACAAAAAAAAGGAGAAAACATAATTTTGACATATCAGCATCTTTACAAGAAACAAGCAGCATGGTTTTATGATCAGCAAGAAAGGACAGGTGTGGAAAGGGAATAGGGGTTTTTAAGGAGGCGAACACACACGCCACAATACAGCACACGATCGTAAAGGTGTCTACTGAAAACAAAACCAACAACATAAGATGATGATCTCTGATTATATTTTTGTTCTGACTGTGGGACGCTGTATACATCTTACAAATCCTGCCATATCAACTGGCATAAATAAAAGGAATGGTGTTAAAAAAAAAAGAAAAAAAACAATCATAATATTTAAATCATAATTATAATAATAAAAAAAAGTGACTTAAGTTACTAAATTCAAATATACACAGCGACTCCTTTATTATATACACATATTTACAGATCTCTTGTCTTTGTTGAATACCTTGATGGTGATATGGGAGCTGCTCTTAAGACCAGCCTCTCCTCTTTGTCGTGATCTATCGGGTCAGGAGACCCTGAAACCGAGGGGCTTGTCTGAAGGCACTTGTGACCGACTCAAAATACTGCAATACGTTTTATAAAGAGCGTTCAGCCAAGATGACAGAAAGGACAGAAAAAACAAGGCCACTTTATAGGCACTGTAGCCCTCCTCATGGACGACGAACTCGTAAGGCAGGCGTGGAAGGAGAACAGATGAACGGTTGAAAGGGGATCCCCCGAAGCCAGCGTCCCCCACCCCCCGCACGTGGTCTGCACCGAAATTGGGCCACTCGAAACAAAACCAAAAGCACAACCATTTGTAAACAACAACGTAAAAGTCTTTATACGGTTTCTCTCACGAGTTCCATAGTCCTGCTCCTAATCCAGCAGTTTTTTTTTCTCCGAAAACAAAGCAAGGCTTCTCACCGCCTCCTTACAAAGAAATAGAATTTGCTTCCTCTGTACATAAAAAAAGGAACGAAATAAATTTGCCACTTTATCAGCCTCAAAAGAAGTCAAAAATAAAAATAACACATGGGAAAAACTCAGTCTTTGTTTCTGAGATGGCCTTGGTCTCCTTGTCCTGCTCGTCGGAGCTCATACGCAGTGTTCTTTGTGCTCTTGGCCGGTGGTGGCGTTATTGACATTTTTACAGTTGTTGTCCTTTGGGCTGAAGCCTGTCCAGTAGGGTGCTTTGAGGGAAGGGCTGCTGCTGCCGCTGCTCCGCATGGTGCAGATCAACCCGTTCTTGGTCCGCGCTGCAGGTTTAGAGTACTTTTGGATGGGATGCTTGCCCCCCTCTTCCACCAGCTCCAGCTCTTCCTCTTCCATCTCCTCCTCGTCCTCCCCGCTTGTGCAGGTCCCATCCGGGGAGCCCATGAGCTTGGTGCACTCGTACTGTGCGTCCCGGTTGTCCTTGTGCTGCGGCCGCGTCACAGGCCTCAGCGGTTCCCATTGGTTGTTGACGCTCTCCTCCAC